ATCTAGTATGAGGTTACCCACATCTATAAAACAGGGCTTCCTTTCTGATTTACATGAATTTATTTACATGTCTCACCGAACCACAGGTCTGCATGAAGATGCTGGTGTGTGTATGTGTGCATGAGTTGCATTTTTCTAATTCCTACATTGCCTTCAATTCTTCAAAAGCCCTGTTCTCTTATTCATCTTTTCCTTCTGGGTCCTACTCCTCCTCAAGCAGGAACCGGGAGTTACAATGAGTAGAGAACTGACTGGCCTCATATCATCTCTTGTGAAAATGACCTGTGTGCTTAACTGGCTCTGAGAGCACGGGAACACAGGAGGCCTTCCACACCTGAGATCGGGTGTCCTGGGGATGCTTTGGTATGGCGGATTTAAGATCAAAGTTGGTTACTCAGCCTCATCTTGACATTTTTGGCTTCTGTGTTTTATAAGAATCTGGTTGTGTGTGTGTGTTTTAAACTTTTAGATACCTGACTGACTCAAATATTTTGGTCCCACACTGACTAAAAATAGTGAACGTCAGGTAAATCATACTAATTAAAATCAACATTGAAAGAAAATGAACCTCTATCTAGTGCCTTTGATAGAGTCTTGGTGTGGCTCTGTAGGATAAACACTCGACCTCAAGGTTGATTTGAAACCGCGAGATCAGCAGTTCAAACTCACCAGCTACTCCTTGTAAACCCTATACAGGGTCCTCTATGAGTCCGAACTGACTTGATAGCATTTAATAACGACAGTGCCTTTGATAAACTAGACTCCTTCTTCCTTTCAATTTATATAAACCTGAGAGTAAGGTTTTCTTAAACTATGGAAACCTCAAAACAAGTTTTTGTAGGGCAGTAGGCTTCATATTAATGAGCTCTGGTAATGTAGTGGTTATGAGTCAGGCTGCTAATCTCAGGTCAGCAGGTCAAAACTACTGGCGGTGGAAGAAAGCTGAGGCTTTCTGCTCCTGTAAAGATTTACAGCCTCAGAAACCCTCTGCAGGGTCGCTATGAATGAGAACCAACTCCATGTCACATCACCACCACCACCAGGCTTCATGTTGGAGCCCTGGTGGCACAATGGTTAAAGAGCTTGTCTGCAAACCAAATGATAGGTGGTTTGAATCCACCAGCTGCTCTATGGAGCAAGCTGTGGCAGTTGGCTTTCATGAAGATTATAGCCTTGCTGAGCCATGGGGCAGACCTACTCTGTCCTGTGTGGTGGTTATAAGTTGGAATTTACCTGAAGGCAATAGATTTGGGTGGGTGGAGACTTCATGTTAGGAGCCCTGGTGGCACAAATGATTAAGTGCTTGACTGATAACCCCAAAATTTGGGGTTTGGATCCATCCAGCAGATTTGTGGGAGAGCTACTTGCTGATCTACTGCTGTGAAGGTCATACCCAAGAAAGTCCTCTGGGGCAATTCCATTCCATTGTCACCCAGAGATGCGAGCAGAGTTAACTTGATGACCTCAGCAGTAACAGACCTCTTGTGTCCTATTCTTGTGCTTGAAATGATCCGATTCTAATATAATCGTCTACACCTTCCTGAATTTTTGCTGTTGACGGCAATTCTTTTTCAGTCAGATCAGGGGAGTAGTTCCCAATTAGAAATTCAGATTACATCTGGTGCAGTTTGTACATACCAGGGGATAGATTTATGTCATCCTTGAGCCAGCCAAGCTATTTCTCATAACTTCAGCATAACATTTTTTCATAGAGTGCTTGCGGATGGGACATTATAATAATTGTTCGAGAATGTGCACAAGAGAAGTGGCCGTGCCTCTCAAGAGACCTCACAACACCAAAAAAGATTTCTTGATGATCTTTTTCGTTTATAGATGTTTGTCTTCTGAGGGGCTGAGACAGTTTTGTGTTTGTTTTCTTTAGCATAGATCACTGATACACGGTGGTGGAAAAATGGAAATCATCTTACAAATTGAGACATTTCATTAAATTTCAATGAGGTAATTAAGGAAACTCATTTTCAAAGATACACATTTATTTCACTAGCTTGAATGTTGCTTAATCATAAAATGACCAGAATACTAAATATAGGTTGCTTTGGGCTTGTCTAGTAGATCAGCGGCTTTGAGAGTCAGGCTGTTGAAATGAATGACGCCAGGATTAAACCAGCAGAGGCCCTTGCTGTGGGTTGAAACTAATAGGCTGAAAACATGAATAAGTTATGCTTGCTGTTCATGTCAAGCAAAAAAACAAAGAGAGAAGGGGAGGATATACGTATCTACAAAGGCATTATACTCTGCTCCATGATACTAAAAAGTAAAATGTAGTTTTTTAGACTTAAGGTCTTCTTCCTACAACATGTAAGAGAAATAAAAACTCAACCACTTGGATATGTTTCCTTCTGAATATTAGAAAATGTTTTAGATTTAGCTTAAAGAAAAATTTTTCCTTCTATTTTAAGCCAATAAAATGATCCTAAGAATCTTGCTAGCAAATGCTCTAATGTAAAAAATGTTTATTTCTGGGACCACTACCCTTGAATCTAGGGGTTATGTTAAAATGCTTCCAATTAAAAGTCTAGTTCCAAGACTACATAGTATTGTCTCTTTTCATGTCTTTGTGCTTTATCTGGTTATCTCTAGGCTAGATATACTGGCCAAATATTGACCAACATCCTATTCCTAAGACGCAAGAATCAGGTATAATTTTGTCAAACTTCAATTTAATGAGATTTAATATTGTAAAGTTTTGGGAAATCTTTTGGAGAATGTTATAAGTTAATTTTTAGAGAGAATAAACTATTTTCCAGAATTTCCATAAGAGAGACTCATCAAACTTAGAAAATTCTCCCTGAAACTGCTATTAGCAAAATCTAACAACAAAAAATACTTTTGCCATTTCAGATACTATCCTTTAACTTTCAGCTTGTTATATTCTTCTTCCTTGAAGTTTTCTACCCCTTCCGGGCTGTCTGTGAATCTCCCTTGCCTTGAGTCTCTACTTACATCACTTGTGTTGACACATGAGTCTATATCTTTGTGGTGTGCTCTTGTGGTTATGAATCGTTTCTAACTAACATATGATCCAGTTGATGTAGAATCGAGTCTGACTCATTGCAGCCCCACACGTGTCAGGGTAGACTTGCACTTCATAGGGTTGTTACGGGTTCATTTTTTCATAGTAGGTTGCCAGGCATTTGTTCTGAGGTGCCACTGGGTAGACCTGTTCTGCTAGCAGCTGAGCATGATAACCATTTGCAACATCCAGTGTCTCCACTAAAGTATGTTGTGTGGTTAAGTACTGTAGAGCTGGTTCCAACTCATAGCTACAATGTATAGGGTTTCCGAGAATTGGTTGGTGGGTTTGAACCGCTGACCTTAAGGTTAGCAGTCCAGTACTTATCTTGCAACACCACATCAAGACTTCAATTAATGTGTTAACTCCATTAAAGTGGTTTGTATCCATTTTTTATGGACTCTCCCTTCACTCTCCATAGATCCTTAATATAGCAAGTCTACACAGATGCTTTAATTAGATAGCTTGTATTGCTTGGAGGTCTATCAAGTGGCTAAAGTCAAAAGCCAATCATATTTTAGACTTTCTACATTGAGTTGAAAAGTTAGCTGGGGACAATTCACTGGTCTAAGTCAGAGTCCTGGGTTTGAGTCTCAGTACTGCTGCTTAGTGGCCTTTGGCATGTGATACAACTTCCATGCCTTTATCAATAATTAAATGTCTTGGTGTGACGCTGTAGGATATGTAGTGAACTGCTAACTTCAAGATCAGTGGTCCAAACCCACCAGTTACTTCTTGGAAACCCTATTCTAGGTTGCATGGCACTTAAAAACAACAACAACAGCAACAACATGCTTGGTGGCTAACCAGATTCAAGGTCACGCATAGGTGCCTTGGAAGGAAGTCCTGGTGATCTGCTTCTGAAAAATCAGCTATTGCAGCACAGTTGTATTACGACACACGTTTCCAAGCGTCAAAGTTGACTAAATGGCAACTAGTTAATTTCAGTTCTCTTTTTGCCCAAACATTCTAAGCCAGCTTGATGAGCCACAACAGTGGTTCTCAAAGTGTGGTCGCTGATCAAGACCATCAGCATCACCTGAACATGTGTATATAAAAATGCAAAAATCCACCCCGGACCAACTGAATCAGAAACTCTGTAAGCCTTGTTGGTGATTCTGATGAATACTCAAGTCTGAAAGCTACTCATCTATGGCATAGTCAAGTCCCTCATATGGTGAAGAAGCTCTGTTGCACAACATTAACAGATGTTGAAGGCTGTGCAGCATTTCATGGTTGGCATTTAAATTCAGTATTTAGTGTTTCGTCTTTGTAGGCTCTGCAGAATGACTCACGATTGCATCGTATTCAGGTTTGCAGGCACTGCCTGTAGAATTTCTGTTCCCAAGCTTCTGTTAAGTGCTGGCAAACAAGGAGTGAAAAATCTTTCTTACAGTGAACAAAGAATATGTAATGGACAAGGGATTAATTTCCAGAGGCAGCCTCCTAATTTTGTATTCATAACTTGGTGGGCATCCTAGGCTGCACATACAATGTCGGCTGATATACATTAGGTAATTGGACATCCAGCAGCCCCATTTGCATGCAAAGGTGGTTGTACACCTCACGTTTACGAGTCTAAAATTAAAGCCTGCTTTGAAGCTGGCTGCAGAGGCACTGGTAGGAAAATAATGAGATAAGGAAGAAAT